CTGGTTCCAGAGTGGCACCAGTTCTTTGCTGGACTAGAAAAAAGAACCAATACGTCACGGGGAAGGGGGCGGGGTTATTGAGCCGCTCAGCTGCTGCAATGACTGCTGTAGGCGATGGTGGACGAAAGCGTAACGCTGCCGCAAACGGACCCTGGTAAGTTTGTTTTCGAACATTTTCGCCTTGCACATAGTTGTTTAGTGTTACCAGTTTCTTCACTTAACAGCTGTGTCCCAGTTTAGGCCTGCGTCCCTCAGAGGATGCGGCGCTAAGTTGGGACACAGCTATTGTTTGTGATGTCTGCTCGGGTTAATGTTAACTGATCAACAGGTTAGCCTTGCTAACATTAGCTAACGTTAGCAAGTTACTTAGCCATGGGATTACCTACCAGCCCCCCTTTCAGTTGGCTAAACATTGTATAATGTGTCACTACACTACGAGTCACTGTTTAAAGCGCTGTTTTTCATGTGGTCTACAGAGTTACCTGTCGTCGAACAAGACGATGCTAACTATGAGTTAACGTCGCTACTCCAATGCAGCTCGCCAACACCATCCAGCAGCTGAGGTCAAAGCAACACAGCAAGGACCTGAATGATGCCCTGCTGCAGAAGCTGGAGACTGACACCAGTGTGTTTCTTCATGGGTAGTTTTAGTTTTGCACATTCAATGCACACTTGTCACTTTTATCAATAGCTTGTTTTTTGTATTTAAATAAATTCCCTTCTAAAGAGACATGTCTGCTTCTGTATGTTTTCACTTAATGATGTACAATTTAACTGTGTAATAAGTTCAAGTAAAGCTAGTAAAAACAAGTCAAGACCTCAACAGGTTACCCATTTATGAAGACGCTTTTCATAGATGTCTTAAGTCACTGTGTTTATAAAGAAATGAGAACGTGACAGCCATAATCATTTCTATGAATTTATTGAACTGAAGGATGAAACAATATTGGTGACATGAAGTAGTCCAGCAAAACAGGTAAAAGGAGTCAGGTAAGCAGCAACAAAACAGCAAAAACAATGGAGAGTAGTAGCCATAACATGTGCAGCATACACAACCAGAACTAAATATAACAAACATTTGAATGGCAGGTTTTTAGGAGGCACCTCCACCGTCCTTTCAATCTCCCAAAAGCCATTTCCACAACCGACCGTGCACTGCTTAATCTGTAGCTATAGGTGTGTTGTTCAGGGGTCAATCTGCCAGTGTCCGCAAAGTGCTTCATGAGCCAGCTCTGCATGGAGTAGGACAAAAATGTATAAGCATGTTGAGTGGAGAGTGATCAATACTAAAATCAATAGCTAAGCATCCTCTTTTGTCCAGCTGAAACTACAATAAAGCCTCAGTTGTCTAAATAAGTACACAACACATAACGTTACACATTTGCATTGTGAATTAGCTGTGCTCTGCCAGCTAAAGTTAGCTTACAACAAAGGCTAACATAACAATATCACGTTCAGTGTTAGTAAGAGACAAGCCGTGTTAGGTTATTACCTGTCTTCTGGAACGTAATTGCCATCCATACAAATCTTGTCGAGCAGCACAAATACGACGTATCTGCCGTGTTTGGATGCCAATGAGGCCTCGTAGTGCCAGGAGTAAGCACAAGTACGTGGTCCGCCGTTGTTGTTGTTGTTGTTCAACGTAACTGACGTATACAGTGACGCAATGACGTGGCACCCTAACCACCTCGAGCCGTGGAAAAGCAAATTGGTTCTCAGCTGGTTAGCAAATTGAACCAACTGAGAACCAGCACCAGCACTGGCCCCGAACCAGCACTGGAACTGCTTTGGTGGAAAGGGGGTACTTGTCACCACACAAAAGCCTGCAGCCACACCAAGTGACCCACCAGACACAACTCATCCAGACACCACAGTTGGTCATCATCCAGCTGAGCAGAGTCTCTCTCGGCCACAGAATCCTCAAGCTGAGAGACGCTACCCAGTAAGAGTGAGAAACCCTCCAAGGTACCTGAAGAACTTTGATGTGGGACTCTAGTTAGCTGAACATAGTTAATAAAAAGTTGAGTTAGAATATGGCGTTCAGCGGAAAAAAAAAAAAGGTGAGAAACAATGTTTCTGTTGAAATATGTTTAAGTTAAAACAAGGTAATAGCACAAAAGTACTATTATTAAAGACTGAGAGTCTAACAAAGGAATTGATAAGTGTTAAGTAAAGTGAATACATTTCCAAAGATAGTTATTTGACTATACAGTACAGTACAGTACGCAGAAAGGGGATGTAGTGTTATCAGTTGTGTTGTGGTACGTTTCTGCCACCTATTGGTCAGATACTAGAAGTGTCCTGTAATTGGAATTTTGTTTAAATGAAGTTGCTACGAGGAAAACACAAGACATGTTGTCGGGCTCTCATTCTTTTCCCTCCATCACGACATAACAGTTGATACGTCCGTTGTCTGTCTCTCAGGTGGAGGCTCAGCATTGGAGCACTTCCATTGTAGGAGTGGATATGCGGCATTTTCCCTTTGCAATTGTTTTTGTATATGCAGCGCAATTCTGTATTTGAAGCACGTTTCTGTATATGCAGCGCCTGTCTATATATGCAGCGTGTTTGTCCTTACCATTTATACAAAAATAGTTTGACATTCAACACCCCCAAATAGCCTTTGTTTCATAACCATATTTTCAGGCACAACTGCAAATAACCGAATAACCAAATTAACCGTGAAACTGACAGTTGAATCAGGCAACTCAGATCAAATGGACAAATAGTTAATTATTTAGGGTCACATCTACATAACACTAGGGTGTAAATCACCAGTTTCATCACAATACGATATTATATTGATTCTTTGGATGTTACGTTATTTGCTGATTTTGCAAGTCTGCTGCGATACGATTTCGATTCAATGAAGTCAGGGGCCTGTGATCAATATGAGATATTATCTGCCCAATTAACACTCATCAGTTACAGGAGAACCTGCCAACCCTTTTTTTTTTCTTTTTTACTTTTGGCTATAAAAAGATAGAAACAACACATAAATAATGTAAGTAATGTAACCTTAGGTAATGTAATGTAATGTAATGTAATGTAGTGTACTTGGAAATATCCCTTCTATTTCTCCTCTTCTATTCAGACAACTGTGGTGCAGTGTGTTGACTGGTTGTCAGCTTGTTTTCTGGAGCTGGAGTTCAGTCCACCACTCTGCCTTTTTTGTATACGTACAGTACAGGCCAAAAGTTTGGACACACCTTCTCATTCAATGCATTTTCTTTATTTTCATGACTATTTACATTGTAGATTCTCACTGAAGGCATCAAAACTATGAATGAACACATGTGGAGTTATGTACTTAACAAAAAAAGGTGAAATAAAAAACTGAAAACATGTTTTATATTCTAGTTTCTTCAAAATAGCCACCCTTTGCTCTGATTACTGCTTTGCACACTCTTGGCATTCTCTCGATGAGCTTCAAGAGGTAGTCACCTGAAATGGTTTCCACTTCACAGGTGTGCCTTATCAGGGTTAATTAGTGGAATTTCTTGCTTTATCAATGGGGTTGGGACCATCAGTTGTGTTGTGCAGAAGTCAGGTTAATACACAGCCGACAGCCCTATTGGACAACTGTTAAAATTCATATTATGGCAAGAACCAATCAGCTAACTAAAGAAAAACGAGTGGCCATCATTACTTTAAGAAATGAAGGTCAGTCAGT